CAGCGACTGATTCCACTTCAGTGATGGGCTCAATATTCTTCAGCAATTCAATGGCCGACCGGACGTTCTCGCGAAGACCTAAGGCTGTCAACGCTATGACGAGACACCAAAACACATGCAATACAATGATTAGTGATTGAGTGACAAGAATAACGACTGAATGTGTGGTCACATGTCATACATATGTCTTTCTTGAGGAACTCGATCAATGTCTTGAGGGTTGCGATGGCCGGACTGTTCTCATTGGCCAACTCTCGCTCGTAGTACTCACGGATCGCTACAAATAACAGACAATTATTACATAACCGGTGATAAACAAAGTGTGAATCAATGGTTAAGCGATACTTACACTCGTTATCCATGGATTCAATTGATTTGATGGCAAAATAAGAAATAATTGTCTCAAAAAGTAATGTTTGAAAAATATTGTCTCAAAAATATGTGACAAAATACAGCATAAATTACACACAATTTAATGCAAACCCTTTGCCATTGAAATGCATGCAAAATATTTGTGGCAAAAGTTGTCGTAATTTTTGTTCACAAAAACTAATATTCAATTCAATGCAAAATGTGATGAAATCTCGCAAAAGCTTACGATTTGTTTACATATTTTTGTTGTGACAATACATTCAACATTGATATCACTTTTGGATGTGATTTGTGTTGACTTCTGTGACACAAATCTTTAGCGATAACTCATCCATCAATTCTTCGCGAGTGACCACTAATTCAGCACAAAAATGGTAAACAATTTATTGAAAATTATTGAATGAAATACTAATTGAATGTCTGTTTGAATGGAAAGGCGGAGAGAAAAGCGGTCAACAAATACTATCCGCCCGATTGGACGCCCGCCAAGGGATCCATCAATAAATACCGCGGAAGTCATCCCCTGAGAGACAGAGCGCGCAAACTTCATGAGGGAATACTCATCATTAGGTCTGACCATTCATTGTTTTTAGTGGTAACTGTTTGTCACTTATTATCTCGTTTATGGGATCAGGTTTGAGATGCCGTACAATATTTGGTGCGATGGCTGTAATAATCACATCGGAATGAGTGTCCGATTTAACGCCCAGAAGTCGAAGACTGGGATGTATTACACGACTCCTATACACAAGTTTCGTATGAAATGTCATTTGTGTGACAATCACTTTGAGATGCAAACGGATCCCAAGAATTTTGATTACGTTATACTGAGCGGCGCTCGACGTCAGGAACTCCGTTGGGATCCCACAGACAACGAACAGGTTGTGCCCGAAGAGAGGGAAGTGTCCAAAAAGTTGGCCACAGATTCCATGTTTAAACTCGAACACGAAGTCGAGGACAAAGCGAAGGCCAAGAGTGTGGCGCCAGTCATACAA